TCCAGCGTGACACACAGCTACCCCCATTCCCTGAACTGTTTTCCTCCCACGATCTCCCATTTCAGTTGCACCATCTTACCCGCATCATCCAACATTCCACAAACGTGATATTCGAGTACACAACCCCCCTGGCGACCCCCCGGCTACATCGCCTACCCACCCCCCTCTCTCCTATACCCCACATCATACTCCACATCAGAGCGAAACGTTGTGAACCCCTCTATCCCTCGGTATCCCCCACTCCGCTCCTCTCCGCTGGTCTCTCCCATCCAAACAATACAACCCTGATCTTTCACCCCGGGACCCTATCTCCCACAGCCTGCCCCCACCAAACTTCGCTTTCACTATCCATCCTCCATCATCCCCCCTCCTCCACTGTCTCCTCGCCCCCTCCTCCTCCCCTCCCCCCTGGTAACAAATCGTCCTTTCGTAATATACATCCTTCCTCCCCCAATCTCACCACATCTCTAACACCCAAACTATCGATAAGTCTCCTCCCTCCCTCCCCCCCCTTGTCTTTTCCATCTTTTGTCAATTTCAACCTCTTCAACTTCCCCCCCTCCTCCCCCCCTCCTCCACCTCCCTCTCCCCCTCCAACTCGATCACCACTCCAAAAGCGCAGCTTCCGCCCGAGATACTGCCCCGCTGCCTATCTTTTTACAGTCCTAATCCCATCCCCGAATTCGTACCTCACACACCCTCCTATTCCAGATCTCCCTCACCCCCATTCTACTCGCCAGCAATTCCCCCCCACCCAAGCGTAGTCCCTCAGATGCGAGCCCCCTGTATCCAATCATTCTAACCCCTCCATAAGCACGCCTCGCTACACCCCCCGTCTCCGATTTCTCACAATATTAAAGCACGACCCCTTCCCGAATCCCGTACTCACTCCAACAACTTTGAATTTCAGGCCTGGGAAGGTGGGTGACACCCACCCCCCTTCAGAAGAAGAAGACTCCAGCCCCGATAATAATTGAGTAGCAAACATGGAGTCCCCAACCGCGGGCCGTGATACGGCCCTGGTCAAGCAAGTCGGCCAGAATGCAGCCTACACCACCCGTAACTCACAAATAGGTACAGGGAAGACACAAATGAAACTCATTGATAACGAAGCACTCAAGTTCCTGATCGAAAGAACCAAGGCCGAAGGAGTATCCATCACAAAGAAAGTGTTAGTGGAAGACAAAGAAGAGGAAGTGATTGTGTGGAAATACCCCGAGAGCAAAATTCATGAATTGGATGATCTTCATGAGAGGCATGCAGTAGTTTTCAACTTTACCCGAAATGGGGCAGATCTCATGCCGACTGAGAAAAGAAAATGGATTATTGAGACGATAAAAAAGGAGGACAAACTCAAAGATGTCAGTGAAGCCTTCTCCCTGCAGAACCTGGGACGCAACAACCTTATGGTGATCTTCAACAAGGAAGATCACGCCCAGATCGCAACGGAAATGCCGTCGAGAAACTGCAACGGGTCAATCTGCACAATAACGAATGGAAGGAGCAAACGGCTCAGGGACAGAACCCCACGTTCACTGTCTCCTACAAGCAAACACTGATGAAAGAGCACTTTTGGGTGCAGTTCGACGACATCCACCCGGACTTTCACGGTCTAGCGGTGGACAGACTAGAGTGACAATACACAGTGAACAGAATCCTGAAGTGGATTCTACCGACCCCAAAATTTCTCTCACCTCATTGTGGGTCGATGACGGCCCTGCTAGAAGTCAAAACAGATGACCCCCTAGTCTTTCCAAAAATCAGCGTCTCAACGAAAACTTCCGCAATCTGCTTCAAATGTAGGGCAGAAATCCAAGTTGCCCAAAGTTTCCAAAGCAATCAAAAGATTGGAAACTTCTCCCCAACATGCTAGTAGAGGCCGGGGATGCCCTGGGTACATGGTTCATCATCGACCCCAACTATGATGGTTGGGTTTTTTATGACAACTTGGATGACCCAGACAATGTGTGGCATTATGCAGACCGGGAGCCCACAATAAAAAAGCCCAACATTTTTCCTCCCGCAGACAACAGATGGCAGAAAAAGGCAACAGGTAAGATTACGGGGAATCCAACAAAGATTAATGCAAATCCACTGATCGACTCCCACGTGGTTAGGGAAGAGAAGGCAAGGGAAGATTTGTTATGGGACCTGGACTCAATCCGGGACAACAAGGAACCAACAACGTTGAAAGCAATGCACAACCGCCTAGAGCAAGAGGCCGGCCACAAGCGCATGCTCGAGGGAAAAGACTCACAGAAGAAGATAGAGGTGGGTCTCAAGAGAAGAAAAGAGATGGAATCAGACAAAGAAATGGGGCAGGAGCAGCTTCCTGCAAAAGGACAGAAAAGAAACATAGATTCTGATTCCGCCGACGAAGGGACTGACTCCAAGGACAGCGAGTTGGGAAAGGACAATGGGGAGACTGGAGGAACTACCACGAATAGCGGGCCCGACTCCCACCGGTCCCTCCAATGGCTGCGGGACTACATAAAGAAGGCAAAAAAGGAAAGAGAACACACTTTCGATATCAGAGCGGCCTGCCTAAAGCACATAGAAAGATCTCAGAGAAACGGAAAGAGCAGCAAGAACGGAACAGTCACAGGTATTGAGGAATCAAGGCTCTAAAGAAGGAAAAGGCGGAGGAATTCTCATAATATACCGCCTTCAGGTATGTAGAGAGAAAAAAAGCTAAAGAACAAGGACTGCCTGACAAGGATAAGACAGTCCTCAACACCAATGACTCCTTCCAGGATCTGCGTCCGAAGAAGTGGAGATCAACAAAAAATCAGAAAAAAAAGGAACCAAACTCAGTCTCGGACTCAGACCCAGCAGAAGCAGAGGAAGAATCCACACGATCATTGTTAGAAAAAAAAGCGGCGGTGGTTATGGCTCAAACAGAAAAGCTGAAAAAACTGAACGCAGAATACAGACCAGAATTCACGTCCATTCAGCACATCACAGATGGTAAGGCTCCTCACGTGATGGCCTCAGCCAGATCAGCTAGGCTCACCCTAATGGGTACGCGCCCACTGATTGCAGCAAGGTACTTAGAGAAGGAGGGAGAATGGCAGGTGGCTACCAATGTGTCCTTCACGATTCCCAGGTTGGACGAAGGACAAAGCGTAGCCAAAATCCATCGAGAAAAGGTAACAGTACTAACGGAGGAATTCCCACTGGGTTTGTACGAAACAATCGACTCCCATGACTGTCTGGAGGCCAGCTCCTCCCAAGCAGCACTTGGAAAACAGCAAGGCCAACAGATGGAAGGGGAACGACACAGCCCTAACACCTTCTTTCCCATGATCGCCAAGATGCTAGGAAACACCCAACTCAAGAGTGGAATGATGTGGAGACCATGGAGAACGGTCACAACAATCCCATACAGTGTCCTTGTGGGTCCGGGAATCCCAGCAGAGCTGCAGGCGGCCTCGGTAGCGCAACTCTTGAGCTCCGGTATCTTGAATGGAGACAATGATCTGGAAGCCAAACACTCGCCATGGATCTGGACAGGTTCTACAAAAGTACTATTTGGAGGATGACATGGAAGAATGGCAGGATGATGGAGTCACCTCAAAGTCGGCCTTCTCAATGGACCAAGGAACCAGCGGAAGCATTGGAGAATACCAAATAGATGATGCCACCACCAAGACACAACAGGAT